TCCGTTTACCAACGAAGTAACGTCTTTGCCACTTTGGCAGAAGCACAGTAACAAACATTGAGAGGATGCCTCCGAATAAAAAATCAGATGACCCAGTTTTCCACTAGCATTTAAACACACTACTTGCGCACAAATCTGAGGCTGTTGGAAGCATGAACTTTTTCTCAAAAAAAAGTGGGTAAATGCAGTTTTGTCTGTGTGTATCAGGCGAGTCGTCAGTATGTATTTAACATTTGTAGGTAGTGTTGTAGTACTCGAGACCGGTCTTGGTCTCGAGACCACTTGATGGTCTCGTCTTGGACTCGACCGCATTTGGTCTCGGTCTCGGGCGTTGAGGACTCGGGATTTTATTTCAAGACCAGTCAAGACCACAACTGCGGAAATATCACTAAATTGCCAGCATACTGTACAGTTTATTTATTAATATCTTTGTTTTCACTGGATGCAAAACATACCGATTCAAATCTAAGCAATAACATGACTTACTGATTACGTGTTTCTGTTGTCACCCATCGCCTCCCCCTGTATCTGGCTCACAGCACTCAAAGATATGCACAGATGTCTGTCTAATCATCAGTAACAGAATCCCGCTACATAAATCATAAGAAATCTTCGCTTTCACAGACGGTGGGTACTATGTCTAACTTTTATAGTCACTTAGAAAAGAAGCTCAAAGAAAGGTAGGCTCTGTTGACATGATGTTAGCAAAACTAGCTGTGCAGGGAAAAATTGTATGAAAAAAGCTGTCACTCACTATGCTCAATTATTGTGCGGAGGTGTTGACTGACGTGTCACATATATGGGACAACGCTGTGACCAAAGTCTGCAATATAGTGATGTGACATTCATGAAAGATTCAATTCTGAGAAGAGCCGTTCAGGACTGGAGCCTCATTGAGAGCCGTTCTTTGTTCTTGTAATGCTCTGTGTACACAGCAGTAGCTATATTACTTTATTTAATTATATACATTGATATTTATCTAATTAGCAAATAAATAAAGCACAAGAACGGAAGAGCAAGCTCATTGCTCTTGGTTTTCGTCACCTGTCATGGTGGTAGATATTACAGTACTGTGCGCTGCCTGGCTTCATGCAGTGGTAGGAAGGGTGAGAACAGTCACGGTGTGCGCCTTCAGCTTGGTTATTTCTTGCTTGTTGCTCCTTGGTCAGTGTTCATAGTTTAGCATTGTTTACCGTTAGGTCATTGCCTTACTTGCTATGTTTAATGGTGCAGACAGTGGTGGGTTAGCTAACCCAATATGGGCAAAAGCCCAGGGTGTTATCTTTTTGGGGATGGCATGAGACCTCTGCGGATTGTGGCACAGAGAAGGAAGCAAAGCAGAACAAAGAGTTTAAATTGATAATATTGGTTAAATTTATTTCAGCTCTAAATATTTAATATCTAGGTGTTTTAATGGGAATATGGATCTTTCAGATCAATTTGAGAATCAATTTTTGATCAGATTTTATTGTGTCATGTTGCGTGAGTTTATATGTTCCTCTCAGTGTTTTTGGATAAGGGGAATTTACCCTTCAGATTCTTTTTGATGGATTTGAGATTGAACAAGAAAAATGTTTAATAAACTTGATGCATTTGCTTGCATAACTATTAAATAGTTAAGTCAAGAGTACATGATCTACCTTTTATAAGAGCAGATAAGTCTTTTATAAAACTTATCTGCTTTCAGATACTAGACATGCACGAGACACATTATCCTTATTCATTCTCTGGATTGCCATCAGATTTATATTGTGACACTAAGAAAGAACAATTAAAGCACTAATTTATATAAGTGTATTAATAATGTTATCAGAAGTCTGATCGGTGAGGTGGTTTTTGATGCGGGGATGAATTGGATCATCTTCACTGGAAAGCTGAATGTTTTTATTCTGCTAACCCAAAGTTAGAAACAGGATGACATTTCTTTAGAGGGTCAGTGGAACTCACTGAAGTCCTGAAAGCAAAGTCGGACAGAGGGGAAGACGGAGGCTGGGGCCACAGAGGTGAAGGTGACCCCGGCTCCGCTGGACACAACAGAGTGAGCCGACACACAACAAGCTTGGAGGCCAACACTGGGACTGACAGGATAATCTGGAAGGCCATCGTTACAGGTGAACAACACAGGGTGACAGGAGAACAATCACACACAGAACATACAGACTCAGAAAACACACATGTGGGTTTTGGTTAATTTCTATGAAGGGAAGCTTCTATGGAAGCAGAAATCATCCCTAAAAGTTAAGCATGGTTCCAGAACAGGAAGACTTTCAAAGTGAATAAATAATAAGCCTGTGTTTGGTCATTGGGTGTGGTTATTTCTGCGTTTTCTTCTTTAGATTATCTGCTCCTTAATTTGCTCCAGTTTCTGATCAGTTTCACATGAAATGCATTTCTTTGGGTCCCAGTACATGCGGCTATCTGCCACGAGCAACTGGGGTTTGAGAAGATAGAGCAGAGACATGAAAAAAGCACAGAGGTTGTTGGCAGCAGTTTCTTATTTGTGTTAGGAGGTGCATTAACCTGCTAACATGTTAAGATCATGAACTATTTAAACTGTTAGAAACTGAGCATATTTTTTCTTTGCAGGCTACACACAAAATCAGTTGGTGGCATCATCAGCAGAGAAACTGATGATCCTGCAGTTTGTTAAGATGGCTGCATTGCCAGCAGAGAAGGTGATCCCATGATGCATGTAAAATGTTTACTTAGATTTAGACGGTGTTGAGAAAATAAATTTAAAATACGCTAGTTTTAAAACTTAACATGTCTTGATTCAAATGGCCTAATTGTGGTTTTGAAATTAGTAATGTATTGTGACTTTTTGACCTTTATGTTACCTGTAGTTCCAGCAGATGGTTTGCTAGGATCGTTTGAACTGCCTTTTGTCTGTGTGGGAAAACAATACAGGAGAAGTTCTAGCTTTTCACACTCATCTGTGAAAAGCCGTAAAACAGCAGGAGTTCCTGGCTTCAGATAAAGGGTCAGAGATAGCTCCTGGTTGGAGGAGCAGAGATACGCCTTATTTGAATAAATTAAAGAAGATAAAACTTTCTACATAGAGTAACAAATCAGATTTGCACTTGCAATTCTCCAAAGACGTCCTTGCACGTCTTTGCTTTTCTTTCTTCTTTTCCATTTATGTCGGGTAAATGAATGAATGTCTCCATTGTTCTGCAGTTTCTGTGTAAGTTTATGCGTTGTCTTATATTGGATTAAACTCTGTAATTCTGTGACATCAACATGCATTGCTGTTGTTTTCCTTGTGGCTCACCGAGAGGACCTGGGATCCAGAGGAAGAGAGAGAGCCAGACTTTTTTCAAAGTTAACTTATTTAGATATTCTTCCTTAACAACGGTCACCTTCTGTTTCTCAGTTTTCTGGTGTGAGCAGCCTGATAGTTCACTCAGTCATTCCTCTTTCTTTAAAGCTACAGCTTCAGTTAAGACAGCAAAGTAAACAATCAAAAAAAAAAAAACAATAGTTTCTGCTCTTGCAGAAACTCTTACTGCCTCCACAGACGTTCTGTTTCTAGCAATGTTCACCGTCTGGGCCTCTACCTCTGCAGATGCTGATTTATAGTGCTCATGCGCAACACATGGTAAGATTCAAGGATATTATGCAATTGGCATAGCATAGATAAAGGGGAATGGAATAATTATACAGTGCTGTGAAAAAATATTTTCTCCTCTGCATATATTTTGTATTTTTGATTTGTGTTAAAGTTAAATCTTTCCGATAAGTAAAGAAATTTTAGTATTTAACAAAATAACCTGAGTAAATACAGAGTGTAGTCTGTACATTTTAAGGAAAAACTAAATATTCAAAACACTCTGGGCAGTTGGAAAAGGGAAGTGTTTTATAGTTAAATTGTGAACAAGTTTGATCACCACATTGTTTGAAAAGCTGAAAGTAATTTCACACACTGCTACAGACATGTATAAGAACAATAACAAAATATTTTAAGTACAAGCTGTTTGACAAAAAGAAGGATCCCAAAAAGTAACATCATCCGCAAATCTAAAGAAATGTAAGAACCAATGAGAAAAGCTGACAAATACAAGTCTGAAATTGTTTTGCAAAGCCTATGTTAAGGCTTTGCAGCTCAAGTGAAAACAGTAACAACAATTGTCCATAGAAATAGAATCGAATAGAGAACAGATTATACTTTGTTGATCCCCAAGGGGAAATTGCTTATTTGCTGACAAGCTACTCCATCTAAGGTGTTAAATATTAATAGAAAGACAACATGGAACAGCAGTGAACCTTTCCAATCAAGATTACTCCAAGAACAAACTGACTAGAAATCAAGTCAACATGGTATCATGGTATCCATAGTATCTATGGTAGTGCTCCTTTACCTTATGTAGAGGTTGGTTTTCACACACACTTGAATCCCCCCCAAAATAGTTTAGGGGGGCCCAAACTATTTCTGGGCCCCCACCAGAAATAGTTTGGAAACCACTGGACCATGCCAAGGCCCTCCTCCTAGTTCTGATTGGTTGTTTCTGACCAAGCTGAGTATTTTTGCAGGCAGCAGTAGGACCACAGAGAGGAGGCAGAATATCTGTCTCATACTGTATATATGAGATATAATACTTTTAGTCACCGTAAAAAAACAGATTTTTATAAAAGTTACCTATTGCAGCTTCAATAAATTATTGGACTAATAGAAACCATCTTACTTTACTCAGGTTATTTTTGTCTGATATTAACATTTGTTTGCTGATCTGAAACATTTAAGGCCCCCCAAAAAGCAGAAACAGAATGTGGAGGTTAAATATTTACACCACTGTAATTAGGGAGAAAAATAATAGAGTTCTTCAGCAACAAACAGCATGGCTTCTGAGAAAGACTGATTATGCCACAAGACAATACATAAACCTGACCAGAGATACTATGTACTGTACAGACCAAAAATATGATCTGGGACATTTTGAAGATTCTTCTGCATGTATTATGGAAAGCTGTGTGTTGCTTGCGACAGAGAAAAACTTACTAACCTATGAAAGGAATGGAGGAGAGGGAATTAAAGGCATGGGCAAGGCTACCGTTAACTCTGCGGCTGGACCCAGTTTCTTGAGGGACAGGAACTGTTCTGGCTGCAGGGATCCAAGCAGATGCTTCCGGTGATATGGTGGGAGAGGAGTTAGCCTGAAAGGGTGTCTGACAGTTAAACAGGGGCCTTTGCCTCAGGACCACCTCTTCAACTGGGGACACAGAGGAGATGACCTCTCTGTCATCCCTTAGCTGCTTCGTCTTCTCCTCTAAAGTCAGAGGTGCAGGAGTAGACTGGAGATGGGAAAAGGCACCACTGTCTCTTCTGGTGCCAGACCCCCAGTTGAGGTGAGGGCCACTGTAAGCAGGCTCTCTGAAAGAGTGGGCCTGCTGGAGGAGATGGCCCTCTCTGTGGTAAAACGAGGGGCTGTAGCTTCTGTAGGCCACCACTTCCTCTTCTTCCAGCTGTCTTGTTTGAGGCTCCGCCACCTGCTGAGCTGACTGCATGTGGCCGAGTGACACAGTGGGGGTCACTGTAGTTTTATGTTCATGTCCTCCTGGAGCTTTCTGCTTCTTCTGTTCTCTTTTACATGTCATTTGGGAATTTGGTGAAGTCTGTTCATAATGTTGTGAGACCAGAGCCGAGGCCTCTGCCAGTGTTTCCACAGAGCGGCCATAATTGTGCTCATAGTCGGCATAGGCTGCCATCAGACTTTCTGAGCATGACTTTCTAGCAGTACCCGATCCAGTGCCACAGCCCCCTAGCCAGTAGGACTCATGCACAGCAGCTGCTGCTCGCTGATGATGGAGGAAAGTTTCTCTTCTGTGGTGTTCTGCAAAGGTCGTAGGGCTGGGTATAAATCTGGGCCTGGGTGCCGAACCCAGCTGCGGCTCGGCTAAATAGTCCTGAGATACACTTAAATGGCGGGGGGACATGTGTTCTGCTGCCTCTGCTTGACTGTAGTACCAGTCTGACAGAGCGTGGTGGTAGAGTGCATCACTGTCAACATGGGAAGAGGCCTGCAGACTGCTCCTTCGAAGTGGAGGCAGCGTTGCAGAGGTGATGGCAGCATTATGGTTAGCAAAATGGAAGTCACATGCATTCAGGCTTGCATAATTGCAGCCCTGGTGTTGCCATGGTGGAGCAAAATGTCTGCTGGAATCCTCTGGAGCTTGTGGTTGGCCAGAGGTGGAGGTAGAGGTAGCAGGGGTTTGGTTGTCCAGTGGTGAGACGGTACTTCTGCCATTGTGCGGCCAGTTGTCCAGAGGACCAGGAGGGCTGGAAGTGGGGTGCTGCAGAGTGGAGCTCACACCGGAGTCCAGGGAACAGAGATGCGGAGGTTCTGGGAGGTTCTGGGTCTCACCTGAGTATAGCTTAACACCTTTGGAGTTGACATTCTGGGAGTACACCTGAGGAGGTGCAAGGAAAAGAACACAATGAAAACCATAAACAAGCATATTTCCTTTTTACTTCCTTTTAATTAAATATTACTGTTGTTCAACCAAAACTGGCTAGGCTCTTAAGGCCCCAAAATACTTCATCTGAATGTCCAAATTGGCTCTCATTGATGCTGACGTGCAATGAAAATTGATCAAGCAAAATGTTCTCTATGAGCATTCTGTTCACAGAGAACCATTCGCCTGCCAGACTCGACACCAGGCACGGATCGATCTACACCAGAGCTCTGTGCAAAGTGTTGTCTGATTGGTCAGAAGTATGTTGCCATGTTTTATGCAGAAATGCGATGGGACATATTTCTCACATTTCATATTTCTCTTCAGTCTACTTCCACTATCTGGGTTTTAATTTTGAGGAACATTTATCCTCAATGTATGTGCAAAAACTGTTAAATGGCTACAAACTAGGGATGCTCTGATCAGGTTTTTTGCTGCTGATTCTGATACCGATCACCCATGAGGCCGATCTCTGCCAATCACCCGGACCTGCTGTTAATTTTTCGCTTTAGGTATAAATGCTACGAAGTGATCTGACAAAATTAAAACGTGATCTGGCAATAAATTCACCTAATTTACACAAACATGCAAAATACTTGCAGACACAACACAGCAGCTACTCAGTGAAAAGGATAACTGAAAAACCTGCAATCAGTAAAATAATATTTAACAGTAATGTTAAAAAGCAAAAGTTTTAATACATATCTAAAATTGTTTTAAGTTACATGCTGCAGCTTTATGCAGCTGTTCGTTGTGAGAGTTCTGTGTCTGCTGGAGGTTGAGCGGCGCTCCGTATGTGAAATATTACTACCAGTAGCGCGTAGCGGCGGTCCAAGTGAGAGAGCAGAACCTACGGTGGCCGACAGGTGCAAATGCGCAGCAACAGAGAAAACATGCAAACAAAAAAGAGACGCAAACAAAATAGGGAAGACCCTCCTGCTTTGCTCAACCAAAACAGCAGAAGATGCCTCAGCACTACGAGATATTGTTGATCAGATCGACGGACTATTGACGTGAGGGCTCGACAGACAACTTTTCGCAAGTAAGATGGACATAATGTGTATATTTTGTGATTAGAATATTACTTTACTGTATTTATGTCCACCGGCGAAACACCAGCTAATGCTAGCTGCTATAGCGCTATAGTGCTTGGTGTTCAGCCCCCTCTCTGAAAGCAAACCGAGATTATCTTAAAAAGTTTATTCTCTAACATTGACTTAGATTATCTGATACAAGAGCCTACTATAGAAATGAAACAATATAATATATATTATAAAAATCATAACATTACATGTTATAACATTCACCAGCAAAGTTTACACAAGTGGCAATGGCTATTATTTATTTATTTCACTCTGTCAAAGTAAGATATCTCCCGTTTTTGTTTTGAAGGTTTCCTAAAGACACGATGTGAGGAAGAAGTGGGAAATATCTTTAAAGAGAGACGGATTCACTGCACAGCACGGATGAATCTCGCATCGGATTTTGGACTCAATCTCAGCTGCTGAATCACTGAAGATGGAACTCGTGCTGGAAAACATATATCTATATATGTATGTATATACATACATACATACATGTATCCAATATGTATTATTC